AAAATTGCTGGTATTTTAAGAAAAAGTGGAATGTGGTGGCCACCATTTTTTACATTTTGTCCTAATATGCAGAGAGAGCCCTGGTACCAGGAATTCACATTTCTCTTGTCTTTTGGGCGGGAGACTCTTCAGCTAGAATAATCAGGGAAGAAAGTCCTAGTTAAAGTTGGTGTTTCTGTTAGATGCACTCATTGTGAGCAAAGTCCTCTGGTGGGAGAGTTCATTTACTGGGGAGGATCAGGAAAGGCTTCATGGAGGCCGTAATGATTAAGCTGAACCTCAGAGGTCGGGAGGACTTTAAACAGAGATGGATGAGCAAGACGGCAATATATTTAGTTTGTATCAGGAGAATGGTGTCTGCTTCTGTTCTGCCACTAGCTCTATTCTCAGGCATGTCCTGTGACACTTAATCTGGATCTGTTTTCTCATCCTGAAAATGAAGCAATAAATAAAGTCTTAAGCTATTAATGTTCTTTAATTCTAGATAGGGAGACTGGAATGTTGGGAGAAATGCCCAGTGGTTCAGTTTGGCAGCACCTAAAGAGAGAGACAGCATAAGAGTAAGTATGGAAAGGCCTTACTGCATTATTTACTATCTTGTACTAACTTGCAAGACTTTCAAAATATTTAAGCAACTAATTTGTACACTCACCCCACCATCAGCTCTTAGTGTATCTTGTGACGGTAGTGTGAGATTAATTAGAAACATGTCTGATATCAGCAGTCAATTATGAAGTATTTAAGGACTGTAGCCAAATAGTCTTCACCTGTCTCCAACAGCAGGCGGTGTGTCTGGGAGGTGGTTCTGGCCTGCTCGGCAGGTGGTTCAGGCGTGTCTGGCAGGTGGTTGCGGTGTGTCCTGGAGGTGGTTTCAGTGTGTCCGGCACTTGGGTTTTGCATGTCGGTGAGGTGGTTCCGGCATGTGATTCTGGAGTGTCCACCAAGTGGTTCTGGCATAGCCGGCAGGTGATTTTGACTTGTCCGGCAGGTGGTTCCGGCGAGTCGAGCAGGTGTTTCCGGCACGCTCGACAGGTGGTTCAGGCGTGTCCGGCAGGTGGTTGCAGCGTCTCCGGCACGTGCTTCTGGCACGTCTGAGAGGCGGTTCTGGCATGCCCGGCATGTGATTCCGGAGTGTCTGCCAAGTGGTTCTAGCGTAGCCGGCAGGTGATTTAGGCGTGTCCCGCAGGTGGTTCATGCGCATCCAGCAGGTGGTTGCGGTGTGTCCGGGAGGTGGTTCCGGCATGTCCGGCACGTGGTTCTGGCACGTCTGAGAGGCAGTTCTGGCATGCCCGGCATGTGATTGAGAAGCGTCCGCCAAGTGGGTCTGGCGTAGATGGCAGGTGACTTTGGCGTTTCCGGAAGTTGGTTGCGGCAAGTCAAGCAGGTGGTTCCGGTGTGCTAAGCAGGTGATTCCGGCGT